ATGAACCCATTCAGGATCCTGTAGGTGCTAGGCACGAACTGTGCCGGCAGTACTGACACCCGGCGGAGGAACTCCACAACGAACGGATGCAAAGGGAACCGCAGACCAGCAATCAGGGCGTCCATATGCACCAACACACATCCCGGACGGTGTCGCATGGGATGTTTGATGAACCCCGCATTAAACTGACGGGGTGGAGGTAGTAATTGGCGCAGCGTCTGTTCGGCATCTGCTGGAAGGCGTTGACGCTGTTTCCTGATGCAGTGGAAGTTCAGACTATAGCGAGGGGGGCGTTCAGGCATACCCCTTTCGTAAACGACAAGGTCATCCCCCGACTGACATCCATCATCAGGGAGGGGCTGTTCGGGATGAAGTGAGGAAGAAGACCCGTTAGAACCCGACGATCGGGTAGATGTACCTTGATCTTTGGGGTGAGCTTTTCCCCTCGAATGGCGAATCAAAGTGGATACCATCTCTTCGGAATCTGACGAACCAGAAAAGGCAGACATAAAATAACAGAGAAGATTCTAGAGAGAGAAAGCTTGAAGGAATTCAGAAGCAGCAGAAAAAACTGAAACAAAGTAGCTACATCCTTATATAAGGAAATGCTACCGCCAAGAATCCAAATGAATAACTGACAAGTGTCAAGACGGTTGGGAGAAGTTAAAGCATCCTTTGGGATAAGAGAACACCCGAACGGGTTGAAATCAACAAAGTTCACGAACCTCTACGATTGAAAAAGAAAAAGGCTACAAGCGCTTCCCCGAACGGGATACACCAAAATGTAATGAAGAATGATCGGTGTACCCGAACAGTATGGTTAGCTTACATGGAAAAATCTGGCAGATGCAACGAAGAAGGTAACACTACATCCCGAATGCTGAACACAATTACCAACTAGTTAAAAAAAAAAAAAAAAAAAAAAAAAAAAAAAAAAAAAAGAGAGACCTGCGGACATAATTGACGAGGAAAGTACAGGAGTTTATACCCCGAACAGATGGGGAGGGTAAAAAAAAAAAAAAAAAAAAAAAAAAAAAGGAAGAAACATAGTTTATACTCCATAATGAACTATGGAGTTCATTATGAATGATATCGAATAAACAGGTCGATCAATATTAAAATCCTAAATTCTGGACTTAGCGAAGGGGTGACGCAAACCGGCAAATCTGATCGCTATAAACTATGGAGTCGAAACAGGAAGGAAGCAACAGGAAATGTATTACAAAGGCAAATTGATGGGTGAGAAAACAAGTATGGAGTACAGGAAAAGAAATTACAAAGACAGAAGTTGCAAAACAAGTTGTGTATTCATCGGCTCTACTGGCCGGAAAGTACAAAAAATACTAATTTAAAGAAAAAGGGGTACAGATGAAGATGTCTAATCTATTTGTTCGGGATGATCCTCACCCTCTTCATCATCGTCTTCGTCAGCTTCTTCGTCAACAACCTGCACGACCTCCATCCCCAGGGCTCGCCGGCATTTTTTCATTTGTGCCATCAGGGCGTTCAGATGACCCGGATGGAGGTCAGAGGGGAAGTCAGAGGGCTGCACCGAACGGCCCATCTGTTTTTCTAGGAGGGGGAGGAGAGGCTGGAGCATGTGTTGACAGCCTGAGCTGTAGACTCCCCGGGCAAGATTATCGGCCCACTCCTTGGTGATAGGGTGCTGATCAAGCACCCTGATCCCCTCCTTCTGGCGCTCTTCTCCGGCCAGTTTTTCCAGATGCCTCCCGAAGACAGCGGGGAGCTGTTCGGTGGCGTACTTCTCCTTCAGAGCCAGAAACTCCTCCGAAGTCTTGAAGGAATCCCGAACGGCGGAAAGATCAACTGTCATTTCGGCCGGTCCGTCCGGGATCTGAGGAGGAGCTTCAGAAAACTTGACCTGAGCGGCCTCAGCTGCCGCGATTTTGGCTTGGAGAGAGCCCACCCTGACACGAAGCTCCCCGGCCTCAGCTTCCAGCCTCTTCCGCTCCTCGGCGAATGCTCGCCGTTCGGCCTCCACGGCCTGCTCAGCTGTTTCCTTGGCCATCAGCAGGCCCTGTTCTTTAGCCTGCCTGGCCTCTCTGAGTTTCAGGCTGTATATCCCCGCCTAATGATCAGAAAGTAAGAAATGAGCGCATGGTAAGCTATTGAACGGAGAAAAGGGGAAAAGTAAATTATGAACAAGAAACTACCTTCAGGACAGTCAGGGCAATGCACTCCTCAACCTCCTCCACCGGTATTGGGGGAAGGTTGTGTCCATTGAGGAAACTAGAGTTGGACCAGATCTGGCTCGCTGGACAACCACCCCTCTCCAGCATTTCATGAGCAGGATCATAGAGGGAGATCCGCTCGAACTGACTAGCCAGGTCAGCCTGATGGGCGGCCACCTCCTCAGCAGAGAAATGGTGGGACTGCTGATCAGAGAAAAGCTGATCCATCAGCGTGTCGGCATGGGTGTGCTGCTCAGGGGCAACCTGCTGCACAGGTTCTACATCCCGAACAGGTTCAGACTGCTCGGGGACGATGGGGGCGGATTGAGAGGATGTCCCCTGATCGGCCTTCCTCAACCTCTTCCTCTTTGTCTTCCTCTGCTGCTTGAGAGGAGAAGTTGGTGGCTCATCATCAAATCCCACAGTGAATAGCCTGCTATCATCCATGGCCGGTTGTTCGGGGTTATCTCCTTCGGACTCTGATTCGCCTTGCTGAGGAGCTGGCAAAACAAACAAAGTGCAAAATTAGTACCGAGCGGTTCGCACATGGATAAACAAAATTGTTTCTCACACGGGAAGGACCGCCCGGACCATGGTACTTGGTTTTCAGTCAAGAAACCCAGGAATACGGGCAGTACCTATCCCGGCTTTAATAAGCCGTTCGGGAGTCAGATATGGCATAATCTGGAAGCAACCACCCGCCTCCACAGCAATGATATCCTGGCTAAGGTCTTCAGAGATGAACGGTTCGGGGGACTTTGGCGGAAAGGCATTCCACTTTCTTGGGATTAGGCCGTTTGGGACAGATACAAAAAAGAACCGATCTTTCCATTCCTTGATGGAGGAGGGAGCCTTGGAGAACAAAATATGACCTGATCGGGAACTCGCGACAAGATAGCCCTGGGCTTGTTGTGGGATGACCGAGAAAAAGTAATGAAACAGATCTAAGGAAGGGGTTACCTTAGCTTCCACGCAACGACAAATAAAACCAGCCATTGCCCGGTAGGAGTTCGGCATTATTTGGGCTGGCACTATATTGTAATAATTTAAGAGGGAAACGAAGAAGGGGTGAAGGGGGAACCTAAGGCCAGCCTTAAGGGAATCAAAATGGACCACGACCATCCCTGGGAAGTGGCGCATTGGGTGGAGGCCCGATTGGAGGCGGAAGTTCACCGAATCAGGAAGTAACATCTGGATTTGGGCCCGGTTCTGGGCCGTGAGCTTTTGGCGCCTAAGCCTAATCAGGGCTAGGTCAAGCTTATGGCAGGGAACGCCGCTTGGAGGACCGGCCTTCATAACTTCCAATTCATCCCCCGATTTGGTGCCATCAGGGTAAACGTCGGAGGAGGAAGAGGAATCATCACCGTTAACTTCCGCCGGAATAGGGACAACTTGCAGCACATCATTGGGGTTTTCCTCTGGGATTGCAGTGCCGGAAGTAGAGGGTTCAGATGAACGAAGGGGTGCCATTCTCACCGAACGAGGGAACTAAACAGTAGAAGGGAGTTCGAAGGATACCTGAACAGAAGCAGCGGAAGAAGCTCTAGAGAGAAGGCAGAGTACTAAGCCGGAGATATCAAATTTCGAAACCCAGAATCAAAACCAAAAGAGCCCATTTATACTCTGTCACGCCGATTCAGCTGCCAATCAGAAGAGGACACGTTTTTTGTAATGATGACAGAGACACGTGTCGCACAGAGAATCCTTCTCAAGTAATCATGACGTTTATCGGAGAAGTGAAACGGCAGTTGCAAATAACCGTCAAAATATGCCTCGGGAACCGGCGGAATGCCATCCGATACTCACCCGAACAGCATTCGGGCAATAAACTTATACTTCCTTATGCACTCACTACCGTTCGAGACATAGGAAGTGGGGGACTAGTGTTGGGATATTGGGTCCAGGCCCAATATCCCTAGGCCCAAATCCGGGAAGAAGCAGCAAGCCCAAAGAACTCCCGAACGGCATTCGGGATAAAACTTATACTTGGAACATTCTGGGTAACGATTATGCCAAGGTATCAAGGCCCAAATATCGATCGGCGTTCGGGATACTTCAGGTAGAAATTATCACCTATGACGGGGTCCCACACACCGAACACCTTGACCGAACGGGCAATCAGCAAGTGGAGGCCGCATTTAATGCTGGATCATGGCGGCAGCAAGTGGGGGCATGGGTGCTTACATGGCAGAGGTGATAGCCTACCAGATTCGACCACGTGTCCACCTTACCCATCCCCATTTTAGTATAAATATCCATGTTTAGATCATTGTAAAGGGTTAGCATTTTAATACTCAGAGCTTAGCAATAGATTTACATCTCCCATCCTTGTAATCTCATATTCATCTACCGTTCGGGTAGTTTCAGTGTAATTGCTTAATTACAGAATATAAGTAAGTTCTTGAGTTGGATATTATTTCACTATTTTATATTTTACACACATTTCAACCCTACCCAATATCCCTACAATATCCAAGGCTTGTGTTGGGCTTTCGGATCTTCGGGAATAAACCTCAACAACCATAATATATCAAATTGAAAGTATTTCGATGTTTTATTGTTATCAATTTCAAGGGGTCAACTGACCAGCCTAATCCTTTGCCTCTGCCCCTGTTTATAATGACTTTAGTGACTTTTTATCTAATAGCCTGTTTGGTAGCACGAAAATCGACTGTTTTGGATGATTTTCTGAAATTTATGAAGTTCTGGCTGAAGTGGCTTTTTTGGCTGATTCTGCTGATTTAAGAAAAAAATATTTTTAAAATATATTTCATTAATAAAATAAAGAAAAAATTATATGTAAAAATAGCCAAAATGATCATCCACAGTAACTTCAGAAAATACAGCCAGAAAAGTAACTTCAACCTTACTTTTTCTGCTTATTACACAATTCAACGCGCGAAAGCAAAATTTACGTATTTGGTGAAAAAGTTGGCTAATAAGCCTGATAAGCCAAAAAACAATGTTACCAAACGGCCTCTAAATTTTTTCAACGTTTATAACAAAAAAAAAATCAGAAAGACGAAAACGAGTAAAATCGTTCCGTTCACACTATGCTTTGGTCGTCCATGCACTTTTCAAATCTTCACTTCAATTTCAAGATCGATAGATCACAATATTTCCAAAACCCACTGCAAAAGCCTTTAAACCCTAACCCGAGAAGCAAGTTTACAAGTAATCCTTCTACTTTCTACTAATTACAGATCACCCCCCAAAAAGATCAAAAGATGAGAAATACTTTTCACATTTCACCCAGAAAGTTCGCCAAAACAGAGTCATCATTACTCTGATCGGCGTCGTTGACCCAAAGCCATGACCCATCACGGTCCTCCATATCTTTGACAACAAGTCTTTCCGTTTCCGAAACGTCGGCATCCGCCAACCACCCACGCGCCCCGAACGCGTCGCTTCCCCACGCGCATCCGAACTCCTTCGCCCAGCCCCCGACGACTCCGCCGCTGCCTCCGATGTCGACGCTGGCCATGACGGAGGAGTCCAAGTCCGAGAACGAGGAGCCGCACGATTCCTCATTTCCGTTGATGGTGACGTACGCCGTCGACCGGGAAATGACTGGCGGCGAGTACAGGTAGGGGTCGTCGGAGAACCGGACTTTGAAGCTCTCCGGCGGCTCCTCAGGGTCCAATAGCTTGGATAGCTCCAACATTGCATCGTCATCGAGTGTCAGCCACTCCATCATGTCTCCGCCGTCGTAGGCGTCTTCAATGACGCCGTCGCGAACAGTCTCCGTTTTGCGCCGCTTAACCGTCCCGCCGTCGTCGTCCTCCATTTCACCCCCTTGCCTCTTCACTTTCTCCATGAAACAGAAAGCTTCCTGAGAATCTGAGATAAAGCAGAGTAAAAATGGCCGGAAATTTCCTAGAGAGAGAAAGAGAAAGGGAAGCGATAAAGTAAGAGAGAGAGGAAGGGGTGCATCACATTAATGGCGTGCAAGTATTGGCGCGGTTTTTATAGGGCGCGTCTGTAGACCACGTGGAAAGGAAATGACTGGGCAAAGGACGTGGTGGACTGGCGGTACATGCTACGACTGGAGTGAACTCATATCGACACATCCTTGTCAATTGAAAATCGTATTTCCTGGCTTGCTTTAATAAAAAAGTCATATAATCCAAATTTCATTAATGAAATTTCCCAAATTAGAAAGAAAAATAATGTGATTTACTAAATAGGAACTGTTGTGTGTTTTTCATAGAATGGTGCATGCTACGTTATTTCATTAATATTTGAGTGTTTTCTTTGGCTTGTGATAAAAAACAAAGTGCTCACAAATGTGGAAAGATGGAGAGGGAATCTGACTGATGATAAAATATGCCTGTAATAGGGAAAACTGTCAAATAGGTCATCGAACTTTCATAAAAAGATCAAAAAAGTCTTTATATAGGAGTCTCTGCCCGGCCATCGCGATTTGGGGTGGTTCCCGGTGGAAGTTTTTGATGAAAAGTTTTGAACATCTTATTTATCAAGTCTAGTTTACTCATACTAAATTTCAGCTAAAACTTCATTTGGGAATGCATACAAATTAATTCTTGAAGATAACTGTGCAGTTAAATGCGCAGTTATCTTCAAGAATTAATTTGAATGCGTTCCCGATTGAAGTTTTAGCTGAAATTTGGTATGAGTAAACTATACTTGATGAATAAGATGCTCAAAAAATTTCATCAAAAACTTCCACCGGGAACCACCTCAAATCGCGACGGCCAGACAGAGTCTCCTATATAAGGACTTATTTGACCTTTTTATGAAAGTTCGAGTACATATTTGACAGTTTTCCCTTTATTAATTAATTGAGCAAGAAACGGTGCTTCATCTGCTCCGGGACTGCCCCTTTGCAATAGAAGTTTGGTAGAGGAGTTTACAAGGTGGCCATAGAACAGGAGATACTAGCTCAAGTAGTCTAGAGTGGGTTCGAAGCCACTGTAACGCTATTAGTGATGTTTCTGGGAGAACCGCACATGCCTCAAAGTTTGCATATACTGCGTGGATGATCTGGAAAGCAAGAAATGAGTGGATTTTTTAGGGTGTAAACTAAATGTGGACAGGCTTATATGGAAAGCCCAATTTTTAGCAGATGAATATACAGGTACGACATCCTTTGATTGTATCAAGCAACGTAAAGAGGCTAAAATCGTTAAATGGATTCCTCCAGAATTAGGATATTTTAAACTTAACTGTGATGGCTCTAGTCGAGGAAAGGGGAAAGAGGTCGGGGCTGGTGGGCTGATACGTAATCATAAAGGAGAATGTGTTAGCGGTTTTTGTATTAATATTGGGAAATCTGATAGTTTTAAAGCTGAACTTTGGGGCTTAAGGCAAGCTTTGTTACTAGCGAGGGAGCTAGATCTTAATAGAGTTATTGTTGAGTTTGATTCTGAGAGCATGTTGAAAGTTGTTAATAAAAGTGATGGTTGGAACAGAAATAGTATAGGGGTGCTTGTTCGGGACTGCCAGGAGCTTCTTGGAGATGAAAGGTTTGTCACGGTTTAACACACTTTTCGAGAAGGTAATAGAAGTGCGGATGTTTTAGCGAATGCGGCTCATGTAGCGCCTTCGGGATTTACTATTTTTCAAGAGGCTCCTGCATGGATAAAAATTCCTCTTCTTGAGGATGCTAATGGTCTAGAGAACATTAGATTTTAATTTCTTCTTTTTAGTTGTCTTTCTTTTCCGATGTATTAAAAAAATTAATATTTGAGTGTAAAAATAAGTATGGAGAAGTTCATAAAAATAATTCATACTTTTAGAAGTTATATAATATTAGTCCCTACTAGAAATATCCATAAAAATAATATGCACTACTAATAGTGTTCACAAAAATAAATTAGAGTAATTCAAATTAATACTCATTTAGTAATCTCAACCTCTAGATGCACTTTCTCCTTTACCACTCTTCATCTAATAACACTTCTATGTTCCAACCTAGAGAGAACCACATATGATGGAATAACGTTAAAATTAAACAGATTTCAGTTTGGATTTGCCATGAGAAGAAGATCGGGGAAGAGAAATTTGAGAACAAAGGTTGAGAGTATGAAACGGGCATTGGTTTGAATTTATCACAATTTATTTTTATGAACACCATTGCTAGTTAGAATTATTTTTGTAAACACTCAGACTAGAGATTATTAATGTAGAATCTCTCAGAGTAGGGGTTATTCTTATGAATTTCGCCAAGTAATTATAATGTATTTGATTGATCCATTTCATTATACCATTATTTATTTATTTATTTATTTATTTATTTAATAATATTGAAGTTACTCAATTATAATACTGTGAGGAATGATACATTGAAGATATAAATGGTGTTTAAGAGGTGTTTAGAATTGATTTTGTTTCTACTTCTTTTTAAAAAGTAGAAGTAGAATCAGAATTATTTTTTCAAAGCGGGTTTTCTCTTGTTTCTAAAAAACATTAGGAACAATTAGAACACTCAGAAGTACTTTTGCACTGTCACTCAAACACTCTAATATCTACATATGCTTCTGAGGAAGCAGAAGCAATTTTAAGAAGTAGATCTAAACAGCCACTAGATCTACTTTCTAAAATGCTTATTTTCCTTCAGAGAGAAGAATCAGATATTAGAGTGTTCGTGTGAAAGTGTGGAAGTATTTTTAAGTGCTTCAAATTGCTTTTGGAAACAATTTTTTAGAAGTTGAGGGAGACCATCTACAAAAACTTAAAAAAAAATAGTAAAATAGAATCAATTTCAAATACCGCACAGTAGAATTTTCATTTCTACTCCATACTAAACTGAAATCACAATCTCACATTTTGATATTAATAAAACAATAATTACTCTTTTTTGAAGAAAAAAAATTAAACTAATATCTTGAAAATCAAATTGTTATTCATATTCGCCCTAATCTCAACTTCGAGAGTGTAAGACCATTTGTAAAAATGGTCTCCATTTATATGAAACAGTGTTTTGCCGCCTATATTTCTCTTAATTCCAGCACCGTCAATAAAATATGTTCTACATATTTTTTTTTACATATCAATTTAGTAAAATATTAATTAAATTACTTTAAGTAATGTTTTTTTTTGTTTTTTTTTCTGAATAATTATGAAAGAAAATTACACATTTTGATGTAAAAAATAAATTTATTTATTTTTGGAGTTTTTAGTTAACAAATGATGAACACAGTTCAAGTAATTGTTATATATGTATCCTAGAAATTAAAAATGAACTGCGTTCTAGTATTTTATTGCTCTAATCTCCAAAGTTTATTGTTATATATGTATCTTGAAAAAAAAACAATCGTTATTTTTTTCCCACTTGTTTCAGCTTTAAAAAAATAAGAAATGAGTTCATGTAATTTCGATTATTTTTTGAGGTTTCACGGATTTAAAATTTGTGCTTTGTGTTTATTTGGACCCAAGAAAACTCTAACATTAGTCAAAACTTTATATTTCTTTTACGTCTTTTATATGTAAGATTGAAGTCAAGGTCATAGAATTTTGATATAAGTTATATAAGTTTGAAAATATTTGGGATGTTATGATGCAAGGATGACGTCAGTTTGACGTCATCCGCACCAAAAGTCAACATGTGGACATCTCTTTTATTTCCGTTTTCTTCCTTTTTTCCTTTTCCCACTCTTCTCAAGTCACTCTCTACATTTAACCCCTTCTACTCCCTTTCCTATTTTTAATACCCCTATTAATCTCCCACTACACACAATTAAAAGTCCAAAAGCCTCACATTTAGTGCATGTTTGACCGACATAAGTCTTCGCCTTCTAGCTTTTATATTTCCTTCGTTCTTTTTTAATTGCAACGGTCCACTTTTCACACTTGCCAACACACAAGTTTGATCATTAATATTTTTCATTACTTATTAGTAAAAAATTAAAAAATTCAGATTTTGAAAATTTAAAATGAGAGCATTTAAAAATATTTTTTTAAAATTTAATTTATAATACATCAATGAATAAAATATAGTCAAAACAGAATATGTGCAAAAAGTCCAATGTTGCAATTAAAAGAGAACGGGGTAGTACTATTTAAAAAGTCTCTAAAACTTTTATTTTTATGTTTGACATGACAATTTTTAAGAGTTCTTCAAGAAACAAAAGATCTTTTTGAAATGTTAAAGGGCGTAAAGAACTAAATCAAACAGTCAGCTTTTTACCAAAAAGTTATCACATTTTCCTTTTAAGGTTTTTTCAATCACCAAAACCAGCAGTTACTAAAAAACTCACAAAAATATCTTTCAAACTAGTTGTACCAAACTTACGCTTAGTCTTTTGGACTCCTAATACCTCACCGATCCAAATGATCTAAGCAGATAAGTCACCTGATACCATAACATTTCTAGCCTGTTGGTCCACCTTTAAATTTTGCTTTCTTTAAAAAAAAAGCTATGTTTTGTTTTATTACTAGCTAATTGTTATATTTTCTTTCTTTCAAAAAAGATATGTTTTGTTTTTGCTCACAACTTCTATTATATTTAACCCCAAAAAACGTATATGCCGAGCTGAGAACATATACTCCGTATTCTTTATCTAAATATGACCATGTCCATAATCTTTCGTCTCTGTTTGATCGATTGTTATCTTTATTTAAGTAGTGATCGATTTTCTTTACCTGTGACCGAAAATATAAGGGCCTATTTACTAACAGAATATTTTCCGATTTTCCAGAAAATTGGAAAACTGGAAAACAAAAAACAGGAAACGTGTTAACCAAAGAAATTCCTAGAAAACTGGAGAAAGGAAAAAAGAAAAACGTGTTTACCAAATCGTTTTCCAAAACGGAAAAAATGAGACATGTCTCTCTTTTTCTTAATGATTTGGAGAAGTGACTTTTACTAGTTTTCCAAATTTGGAAAACGCGGTTGTTACAGTGCCGTTGTAATGAATTTGCATACTTACACCTAGTGGTGGGTCCGGTCCCACTCCGATGTCGATTCCATTCCG